AACACCTTTAAGCAGAATTCATTTCGAAACTCTTTTCCCGCCAAATCTTAACGTATTTTGTCTATCAATTTCCCAATTTTGGCTTCCTGTCTAACTCCATTTTTTTTTTAAATATGTACGCTTTATTTTTTTGTCTATTTCTCTAAATTAGCATTGATGGAAGATTTCTAAATATTTTCACTTGTTCAATCACACTATATATATTTTTACATATGGTGGACAAAAGAAATAAATCATTTTGTAATTTTTTTCGTTTATTTTACAATTATTCAACCAACAGAAGGCTAAAGAGCCACTGGAGCTAGAGGATTGCTTACTGTGGATATTGAACGGGCGTATAGGAAGGGAGCAAAGGTTGCATATAATGAGGATATATAGGCAGGGTCAAACTCAGGGCATATGGAAGGCCGCATCGGCCATATCTACAGCCTCGAGGACGGCACCTGATTACAATCTTACATTAATCACAGCTAGTGGTAACTAAACTTTAAATACAAAATACTTACAATACAAGGTAGTACAATTTAATCATTATGTTGTCCTGATGATTGACATCGCTTTAGATAAACTATTCTCGATCAGGTTGGAATGTCTGAGTTGATCCCACTTAGATTAAAGATGCAAATTTTTTATCAGTTAATCTGGTTCCTTGAGATGTTTTTGTGGCCCTCATAAACGAAAATAACTGCTCACAGACATGTGGAACGAAACATCGCCATAAACTTTGTGGCTAACTTTCTGAACTTCTTAAATGTCTGAGGAAAAAATGAAAAAAATGTGGGTACCCCTACTTCTAGGTACTTTCTCTTGAGTGTTGAGTCTGTTTGCATTTCCAGTAGTTTCATCTGTAAACTTTCCTCTGCCTGAACAACATTGAAAGTGAATGGTGCTGAGAATAATGCAAACTGATCTTCAGAAAATGGAAAATCACAAAATTTTCTTTTCTGTGACAGCAATTCCACATAACTGTCGTACTTAGCAAAGAGAAATACTGACTCAAAATAAGCAGTTTTTTCAACTCCTTGTACGTAGGAAAATGAGTCAACTTTTCATGTGTGTTATAACTGACGTACCTATTATATTATTAATAGACTCTCCCACACATAATAAGTGGTAGTATTAGTAGCGGTCGACAGTTCGGCTCAGTGGTGTTGAGCGAGTCAGTCGATATCGGACATTGAAGTACCAACCATCACAGCTAGATTGCTGCGTCATTAACACTTATTTCCAAGCTCCTAACGTTTTGTACGTCGAACCTAATTTAGGACGACTTATTGAAATACAAGCTTCCACTGTGAAAACTACTCTACAACAATGTGACACCTGGAACTTCAATAAAGCTAATTTTGCAACGAAATACTTGATATCATCATATAACTGAGTGATGAGCATATTTTTATCTTTTAATTTCAAATTAAGGTCACTTAATTGGGTAGTAATATCCACTAAAAAAGCTAGGAACCAACTTTTACCTTTCAATTCATTTGCGCTTTGACCCTTCATCTCCAAAACCATAACAATTTCGTGTCCCAATAAAAAAGAAAAAATATACTTTTCAGTACCATATGACATGGATTTCTGTGTAGAATAGGACATTTGTGAACTGATTATTCACATCTTACAATAACTGGCTAAACTGACGTCATTTAATATAGTTCAATATAATTATGACAAAACTCAACACATGATCTAATTTTAAAGTCTTAGAACAAAGGTTCTGTTGATGAATTATACAGTGAAAATGCTTGAATGTTGAATCTGTATATATGTTTTCTATTGTTGTACTAACTTGGCAAAAACACCATTATGTCTCCCAAAAATGTTCATTTGTCTCAAAAATGTCCTGTTTTGTTTTAATATCATACATTGGGACCAGTTCAATTAGTTCTTCATAAATTTGAAATTGTCAGAAGCCTTGATGAAAACTGCGAGTTGCTCTATTCCTGTTACGTCAACAGTCTCATCCAGAGCAATACAAAAATGTTCAAAACTTGATAGATTTCAACTGCCATCTCAAATCACTTGCCATTTCATTAATCCGTTCAGCAAAAGTGTTGCTGCTTAATGAAATGTCTTCAAATAAGTGTGACTTCTCTGGACATACAATTTCAATACAATTTTTACAATACATCGCTTTATGAAATCTCCTTCACTGTAAGATTTTCCACTGATGGCGATCATTTTGCAGAGTTTAAAGCTTACAATAAAAGATTAACATTACCTTTCTAAATTTTTGTAAAGCAAGTCTATTGTTGTGTTAACTTAATCTTGAATTCTTTTGAAACACACATATCTCCTTCATATTTATCATATAATCGATGGTTTGTTTGATGTCTTTTCACGTTATATTCTTTTAGCGTCAAAATGCAGTGTTTGCAAATCAAACAGTTTATTTTTCCATTAACAGTGGTACAAAAATACTGTAATGCCCAATTTTCTTGAAACATGCGTCCTTCTTCACATATTTTTATCTTTTTATGAGATGAAGTAGAATTTGACATTTTTAAGATGAAATATTATAAAATTACGAACGTTTTCACTCTAAATTTGTTTTTATTTAATTGTCAAGGATGATCACATAATTAACCGGAAGTTAAAATAACTGCTGACATTCAAAAACAAAAAATAACATTGAGATAGAATAAACAATCTAATCATGCCAATTGAAAAAAAAATCTCACCGTTTGCATTATCAACATAGACAAAATTCTCCATATACTACAGAAAACTTTGTGAGGGCCGCCAAGATGCATGTAAAGGAGAGCATGCAGTCCACGAGTGGCCAGTTTAACACACCTGGAATAGATAATGCTTGACCCTCGACTTTATGATTGTAGTTATCTGGGAAGCATCCTTTCGGAAGTCCGTTACATTTTGCAGCAGTTCTTAAGAAGGAGCAGTCTGAGTTGAAATTACTTTTTACAAATTGAATATGGAAGGAACGATTCGTCTCGTTGTACGTGGCCTGGTGTCTTCTAACTTGGAAGCTCTGGATTGGTGAAACCAAGGAACATATGTCGCCTGTAGAAATCCCATGAAAATAGAAATCTCACACATGACAGTACAACAGGTTTCGAACCTGTTCAAGCCTAGAAATTGGTGATTTTGTCAATTCCAACCCAGATGTAACAGATTTACTCTATTTCTCGTTTGTTCTGGTTCTTCGAAGATAGTTCATGGCAAAAGTTGCCAGGCACTCTTTGGTGTTATACGGGGAGTTGATTATTTTTCCGGTATCTTTAGCAAGTTCGACTTGAGGTCTAATATGATTTTGAGTTCTAATTACCGTTCCAGTCACCGAATCTCTTCGAGATTATAACCGTCCTCGGGGGTCTGTTTTACTTCATATTGGTTTCCTTAACTTTAACAAAGAATCTCTATTATCGCAAGAAATTAGATTACATCAATACATATTAAAACATCGATCGATATAAAAGAATTTTCTAAGTTAAAATGCTCGAAATTGCTGTTAATATCCTTTAATTCCCCATGTATAATGCGCCTTTATCCATAATACACACCCCTAAAATTGTGATGAAAGCGTGGGAAAAAGCTTCGGCTCATGAGTAATATGCACCTCTTGTTTAGTAATCAAACCGTATAAATATTACATCTCCAATTTAATTACAGCCAGCGTTTCCTACTCTTATTAAAAATAGCTTTATTATAGAATATTAAGTACAAACGATTGTATTTGACATCATTATGGGGTCACAATCGCCGAATGTTGGTGTTAAATTGTCGTATGTTTGTGATGAGTAGTCATTTCGCAACTGAAATCGAGCTACGAAGCGGCAAATTTTAAAGATATTTTTGTAACTGTGCATAATACGCACCCCTAGGCTTGTTTATTATTTTTTAGAAAAAATGCGTATAATGCATGAGGAATTACGGCAAGCTAAATACGAAATATATGTTTAAACTAAATCTACGTTTCTTGTGTAATAAAATAATGGGTTGCTTCCTATCTCGATTTTAAAGCAAGGATTCTAAGTATAAACTTAGCCACCTTAAATTTTCATAATGAATTAACAATTTTGTTTTTTTAAATTTTACTTGGCCTAATATTTCCGGCTAAATGAAGAATTTTACAGTAAAAACAATCTCTCCTCACAATTTCATATTGAATCGTGTATTTTATTTTTAGATGAATTCATCGTCTTACTAACATAAGGCGTTTTGTGTTTAGTCCATTGTAATGACAAAAATACGCAGGTGTGGGTTTATTCCAGAGAGAATGCATGGTAACTGTATAGTGTCCTTTTATAGTCCCAGCAAACGAAAATACCTCTCAGAAAGAGGAGAGTAACAAAACAAGAAGTGACCACTCTTGATTATTCATAACATCCATCTCATATTTCTAAACTAAAAAAGAAAATTCCAAATTCTCGGACCTAGATCATTTTAAACGGCCAGCTTCTTTTAAAACAAATATTGACAACGTTGCAGTATTTCTTCTCGAGTAAATACGATCAATACAACGGTTAGTGTATACCGTTTGATTATCAAGCCAACAGATCGTGTTTTAGCCCTAAAAATATTGATTAGCAGAATTTACATAATTTTAACCTTGAGAATTCACTCTCATTGATCAATTTATAACATTCACTAAAGTAGCGCTAAGAATGAGATGTCGAAAAAGTGTAATACCCCAAATATATTGTCGGCTGGCAACGTATGTAAGAGTGAGCCAGAACATTCCAACATGATGTCTCTTCAGTAAAAATTTTTAAAAAAGTATTCAGTGTTGACTGTATATAATTTGGATTTCGTAAAATTGTCTTAAATGTAATTATTCCAAATGAGCATCTTTACATCATGTGATAATATGGCCAGATTTATTACAAAAATATTTCAAAATATACATGCAATATAATGAAAAAATACTCCATGTTTTTGCCATGTTTCGTCCCAACACTCTCAGTGTTGATTTGTCTAAGGTTTACATCCTGGTCTGTATTAGTAGACAAATTTGACATATTAATATCACAAACTGGTAGGTATATATATTCGTATCAAATAATTGTTCATATCTATTTATCTATCTCACTCTTCTCGTATCCCCCATCTCTCTCTCTCCCTCCCTCCCTCTCTCAGTCTCTCTCTCTCTCTCTATCTATCTATCTAAGTTTTTTTGGATCTAATTTTTTTTGTATCTATCGATCTTTCTCAGTCTTTTTGTATCTCTCTAAGTATTTTCGTATTTAATTGTTCATTTCGTATCTATCTTTCTCAGTCTTTTCTTACGTATGCATCTATCTATCTATCTATCTATCTATCTATCTATCTATCTATCTATCTATCTATCTATCTATCTATCTATCTAATTTAATATTTACACATTTAATAAGGCATTAGTTTATTCTTTTTAATATATTCCCGATTTCAAATATTATCTTATGAAAATCCGTTCAATGACTTTTACAATTTTTTAAAAATTGGCGTCGTCTTACTACGCTTTCCAATTTTATTGATTTTCTTCATGTTCTTAAAATCCCTAAGTTTTAAAACGATGAACCTTTGAAAACAACAGAACCTACGTGGTCAAATATTTTCAATGTCAACTTGTCTAAAAAAAATTCAAAACAGCAACAGAGAAAATAGTTTTTCTATTTTCTAATTCATTTACTTTTATTTATCTCTAATTTATTTTCTTCTAACAAATTCATGTTTTTATTGTTTCTGCTTTATTGATTTTTGTTTAATTTGTAATTTATTTTTTCTGTTTTACACAAATATTTATTTATCTTATGTTTCTTACTAATGCCTTTTTTTACTTATTTATTACTTTATTTATTTTGATATTTTTCAAATTTATTTATTTTTGAATATTTTTTCTAATTTTTCTAATTCTTCTAATTTATTTGTTTTATGTTATATTTATTAATTTTGCTACTTTTTCAAATTTATTTTCGAATTTTGCTTTTTTTCTAATTAATGTATTTTCTACTATATTTATTTTGCTAATTTTTAATTTATTTCTTCCTTATTTATTGTGATATTTTGTATTTTACATTCTACTTTATCTTGCTAAATTTTCTATTTTATTTATTTTTTTAATATATTTATTAGTTTTGCTATTTTTTCTGATTTATTTTATAATTTATTTTTTTAATTTTGCTAATTTTTATTTATTAAATATTTCATTTATTTATTTTGCTATTTTTTAATTCATTTATTTTCTACTTTAAATTTTGCTAATTTTGTTTTAAGTTATTTATATTTCTACTTTATTTATTTATCTTTCTATTACTTACTAATATAGGTATTTATTTATTTTTCAAAATGTTTCTAATTGGTTTGTTTAATATATTTATTTATGCTATTTTCCAATTAGTGTTAGTGTAAGAATATTGTTGCGAAGTTAAATTTGAACCGTATTATATTGTCGTTTTATGGAAATATTCAAACGTTTTCAGCGTAAGAGTTATCAATGTTGGAGCTGCCCTATTGACACTGAATTATCACAGACTTTAGATGAGAGAAGTGTGCATATTAATATAACTTTTACGTTTTGTTCTAATTAACGTGACCTGATAAACTTTCTTGAATATATATGTTAAATAGACTTTTTCGAATATCTCTCGAAATCAAGGCACAAAAGCCATTATGATGTAATGTTATCGTTGCCCAAACCAAAAAGGAAACAAATGTAAATCGCTTACGTATGACATTATTTTATTTTTATTCTTCTCCTGACATCGTAAATTTATATCGGCGAGTGTGGGTGTGGCGTCTTTTTTTTTTTTGTTTTTGTTTTTTTTTTGTTTCTTTCTTTCTTTCGTTCTTCTTCTTCTTCTTGCGAGAAATTGGCTAAAGATTCTCTCTTTTCCATCTCGGATTGAATGCTCGGATATCTTTCTGTTTTTCTTCGTGAGCACATCCTAACCGTAGCTGAATCGATCACCTATTTTTCATATCGGCAGCAGTGACTTACATACTGTGAAGCGAGAAACCTACTTTTCGTTACTGGGAAGTTAACTTGCAGTCAACTCGCTGATGGAAGGCATGTTAAAAACAAAACAAAACAAACAAAAAAAAACAACAAAAAAACAAAAACAGATGTATTGAAATTATTAATTATTAAATCCAGAAGCTTTTCAAAAGCTAACGGATTCTCACATTGATAAACGATATGCGATAAGGCAAGTAGTTAGAGAGGTAAATAGCGTGAAAGGTAGATAGATATACTTGATGAATAGGTCAGCATGTCTAACACTGTTATTATATTTTTAAAACAATAATAATATATATATATACAGTGTAACTCGGATATAAGAGACCCGGATATAAGAGAAACCCGGATATAAGGGAGATTTTCTCTGATCCCATATTAGAGCCTGTGTTAATGTAAACAAAATAGACCAAACCCGGATATAAGAGAAACCCGGATACAAGAGACTTCTCCGGTCCCGTCAACTTTCTTATATCCGGGTTACTATATATATATATATATATATATATATATATATATATATATATATATATATATATATATATATATATATATATATAAGAAAGAAAGAGAAACTTTCAAGTTTCATGATAATTATCGATCAGATCGACCATTTTTCATATAAATAAATGGGTGACAAATATTTCAAGCATAAGAAGAATTATGTACTATCATTCTTAATTTATGTACGCATTTGTTTGACGAGGCAGGTTTACATTGGTGGCAGGAGGATTTGTATATATATATATATATATATATATATATATATATATATATATATATATATATATATCTTGAAAGGGATAAGATTAAGAGAGTGGAAGATGAAAGATAGGTAAACAAAATTAGGAAAGAAAAAAAAGAAAAGAGGTAGATGTATTTTCATCCGTCTTAGTAAAGACATACCAACAGTCCTTGTGGAGAGGGTATTAGATATGCTGACCTACTTATCTAGTATATCCACAGAAGAGGAACTTAGAAACAAAAATGAAGAAAAAGAGAGAAAGGAGAATAATACAGAGAAATTAGAATGGGGAAAAAGGAAGAGGAAAACATACATGAGGGACACAGAAAAAATGTCTACAATCGGATTATGACACTTCAACATTAATATTTTAAAAATAATAACCAAACACACTATTAACTATATATATATATATATATATATATATATATATATATATATATATATATATATATATATATATGTATTCACTTTGGGATTGCTAAATTATCGTCATTTTTTTTAACTTTGCGCATGCGCGTTATTTTCTTGATTTTGTCGAGTGAAATTATACTAGGGTCGGTTGGGCACCGTCTGTGAGAAAAATAGCACAATGACGCAATTCACTGCGCCAGAAATTTGGAAACGGCATGCTGTGCAGAGGACGCGGGAAGAATTGCATGAGTCTAATGATGATTACCACGGTACGGCAACAAGGAAAACTTACTCTGATTGTTCTCAAAAGAAAAGAAATCCTGAATTTGTTTGTGAGGGCCCCAAGCGCTTTGAAGAGATAGTGATATCCTAAATAAGAGTATGGCTATTGAAAAAAAATAAAATTATAAATAGAACTATGAAACATGACCCACGGGTATCAGAATCTAGTCATGGCTGACTGACAGTTTCTCTGACCACATTACACCTTACATCTGGTCACATAACTCCCCAGACTGCAACCTCCACCTGATTATTATGTGTGGGCCACAGTTATGCTAGATATCACAAAACTCCTCATAGCATCGAAAATGAACTGAAGACAAGGATTTTGGCAGCATTCAAAATCAAGGAGACCATCCAGAAGAGGTGCAGGAGATTCCGAAGTCGTTCGAGGACGTGGTTGAATCTCATGGCGATTTTAGCGAATAAATTTACTCTTTAGTATTTCAAGATATTTTGATTTTGTGCATTTTTGGTAAATATATCTGTTAAAATGAAAAAGTTGCGTAATTTAGACAACAATTTATCCATTGAGGCATATATATATATATATATATATATATATATATATATATATATATATATATATATATATATATACTAGGGTAAGTCAAAAATTATCCACACCTTTCACTATAATATATCTTTAGGTTTGTCATATTTCCTACTGCGCATGGGTGTTTTTATGTAGTACGATTGTGGTCACGCGATCGAATTTTGAGCTTGATCGCACCAGTTGTCTTGCTGCTTTGACAGAGTAAACATGGCCTCTGCACTACCAGTGTACCTCAAAGAGGAACAAAAAGAGTAGTGATCCGAAACTGAGAGAACATGCTACCTCATCGCCATTATGATCTATTTTGCTGGATCTTCTCGTCCTTCCACTTTTAACCTTCTTGTTCCCCTCATACACACTTCTACGCGACAGTGCACTGTATCCTTGTTGTTGTAAAAGCCGCCGATGCATTTCAACTCCTGTTACACTTTCCGACAAGAGAAATGGGATCATCTTCCGCTGTTTCTTAGCAAGAAAACAGGCGCAGCCAAGCTCAAATATTAATAATGTAACCACAAGAGTACAAAGTATAAGTACGCATTAGCAGTAGTCAGTGTGACAGACATAAAGATATGTTATCGAAAAAGTGCGGATAATTATTAACTTAGCTTCGTGCATGAGTTAAATTGTGTGTTAGGAGAGAGATACCATCCTGGGTTTTCAGGTTCTGGTAGTTAAAAGTCAGTTTTCCCCCCATTCAGCTGTTCGAGCTCAACCAGAGAAGAGATCATCTGCCAAGCTCCAATCATTTTGATTTCTGAAGTTGACTCCACAAACAGTCGCATCATCTGCATAGATATTTACTAAAGATGTGGGAATGTTTCAGCTAAATCATTAACAATAAAAAAAGCAGAAATAAGGCAACACGAGTTAGAGAACTTTAGAGGACCTTCATTGCCCTAATAGAAAGTAAGAACATGAAGATTGCATAAATTCTTCCAGCGATGACACTGGGTGGCGTTGTATATAAGGTTTATGAAAGGAATATACACATACCAATTTTCTATTCAATCAAAGAATATAATTTTGACATAACGTGTATAATGACAATACAATATACAATCGAACCCCTGGCAAAACCCTTGTCTCATTTAATACATTATACAATCACTCCACAGGCAAATGGTGTGTCGTATTAAATACAATGCCGTGGCGAACCACTTGTTGCCTTCAATGCAATATACAATCAATCTCCAAGCGCATGACGTGTCTCAGTCAATACAATATACAATCAAAACCACGGTGAACAACGTGCCTCAATCAATGGAATATACAATCAATCCTCAGGTGAAACCTGTCTATCATTGAAAATAACATACAATCAATCACCCAGCGGAACCACATATTTTCTTCAATACAATATGCAATCAATCTCTAGGC